AAGCCTGTGGGCCACGTACGGATGAGGACAACTGTGAATGTGGCCCAACATAAAATTGTAAACTTATTTAAAATATTATGAGACTCACTTTACTTTCTTGGTAACTCATTTGCCTGATTTTCAAGTGTGAACTTTGTAGATGACAGCATGTCTAAAAGGATGTCCCTTGAAGGGTTGTTGGCACGTCAACATATCTATGGTCACTCCAGGGCTCAGAATTTCAGACACAACCGCTATGAACCTACAAGTTTCTGTTTGTGCGTTCTGTGTTACTGTAATGAAACACCTGAGCTGGTCAGCTTACAGGGAGCAAGGTTTATCTGAGGTCACGGTTTCTGAAGTTCCTGTCCTTGGTTCCTCGGCTCTGTTGCTTTGCATTTGTGGTGACTGGGACATCAGGGTGGGGGAAGTGTGGCAGGGGACTCCTATCCCAGGCACAGCGGTGCAGAAGAGGGTTGGCAGGGAAAGGGTCAATATCCAATCCATTTCAAGGGCACACCTTCAACAGCCTAACTGCCTCTCACTTGGCTGTGTGTGTGTGTGTGTGTGTGTGTGTGTGTGTGTGTGTGTGTGTGGTGGATGCATGCGAGTGTGTGTGCACAGGCATGCACATACAGAAGCTCAACAGAACTCTCTCACACAGGGTCTCTCACTGAAATGGAAGCTCGTCATTTTGGCTAGGGTGGCTAGCAAACAAGCTCTTGGGATTTGTCTGTCTCTGTCCCCCAGGGTTGGGATTATAGGCATGTGCAGCACGCCTAGCATTTACATTTTCATTTGTGTGTGTGTGTGTGTGTGTGTGTCCCATGTGAATGCATGTGCCCACAGAGGCTAGAAGAGGGTGTCAGAGTTGTAGGTCTTTGTGAGCTGCCTGATGTGGGTGCTGGAACTGAACCTGGGTACTTGCAAGAACATCTAATACCCTCAAGCGCTGAGCCGTTTCTCTACCCCGAAGGCTCAGCTTTTTATGCATGTGCTGTGAATTTGAACTCAGGTCCTCATTCTCACAGAACCGGCACTCACAACCACGAAGCCTCTCTCCAGCTCCAGCCCCACTTCTTAACGGTCCGTGGCTCTGTTGGCTGAAGTGCTCAGCTTGCAGACACAAGGACAGGAGTTTAATGTCTAGAATCCAGGTTTTTAAAAACAGCCAAGTCTAGCGTCCCATGCTTGTGAATCCCAGCATGGTAGTCAGGGCTCCCCGGCCAGCAGCTTGGCAAGTCGGTGAATTCCAGGCAGGGTGATTGGCAAATGAAAAAAAAAAAAAAAAAAAAGCAGAGGTTGTCTTCCACACATGTGTGCACACGCGGCTACATGTACACACTTGCATCTGCACACACATACAAGTTTAACACCTTCCGGTACTTGATCCCGGGAACCAAGTTCTCAATAAGAGGCCTGTCTTTGACACTCTGGAGTCAAGCTCCCGCAAAGCTCTCCCCTGTTTTGTTTTAAATACTCATCCATCCCGACTGTTTTGTTCAAGTCGTATTTATCTGTCCTCATCTATCGCCAGTGTTCCAAGTCTCTGGATCTATCTTCCTTTTCAAAAGGAAGATAAAGAGCTCCTCTTTAACAACCTTGGGTCGAACCTGGTGTCATCACTTTGTGCGATGTGTCCTTGTGGGCACGCACGAGGCTCCTGCTTCTTGGAGCCCACAGAGCTCACATCCTGTTTGCTGTGAGGGGCAGGTTGCGAGGGAAGAGCCTCGAGGAGTCGCCGGTGGCTGGGTCAGGGTGAAGAGCAGGCCGACCTGACTCTTAGCTAGCTGGGGCACAGAGCCTTCCCACAGGGGCCCGAGCAGCTTCCAAACAAATCATATTTATGGGGCACCTGTCAGCCCGTAAACTCCCTTCGAATCCGAGATGGACTTAAAGCTGACGGTTTCCTCCTCTGACAGTCAACAGATACTCATGTGTCACAGCGCACGTCACCCTGCTTGTTAGGTTTGAGTAACGGTGATGCGCGGAGGGAGCCAGCTGGGCTGGGGTCTCCTGCGAGCACCCAGGACTTTACATCTGGTAGTGCATCTGTAGCCATAAAACTAAACCACATGCTGAGCTGCCTTCTGAATGGTGGAGACTCAAACAAGACCAAGGCTGGGATCTCTCAGAATTTTATTAATTATTACTGTTATTATGTAGTATGTGTGTTGTGTATGGTGTGTTTGTATGGTATGTATGTGTGTGTATGTGTGTGTGTGAAATGTGTGTGTGCATGTGTGCGTGCGTGTGTGCGTGTGTGTGTGTGTGCACTTGTGTAAAGTCAAGGACAACTTCATGGAGCCAATTCTGCTTTTCCATTTTTTTTTCCCGAGACAGGGTTTCTCTGTGTAGTTTTGGTGCCTGTCCTGGAACTTACTCTGTAGATCAGGCTGGCTTTGAACTCACAGAGATCAGCCTGGCTCTGCCTCCCGAGTGCTGGTATTAAAGACATGTGCCACCACCACCTAGCCTGTCCTTACATTTTCACATGGGTTCCAGGGATCGAACTCAGGTTACTAGGCTTGCACAGCAAGCCCTTTATCCTGCGGGGCCGTCCAGTGCTCCCCAGTCACCTTTTGAGTCAGAATCTCACGTAGTTCAGGCTGGTTTTGAACCCCCCATGTAGCGGAGGATGACCTGATCCTCTTTCTGCCTCTACCTCCCGAGTGCTCTGCTCACAGGCACACTATCACACCCGGTGCCTGGTTAAGGTGGTGCTAGGGATGGAACCCAGGACCTTGTGCACGCTAGGCAAGCACTGCCAACTGAGCTGTCCCCTCAGCAGTCTGTTGTCACAGCTGTGGCCAGCATGCTGCTTGGGGCTTTCTACCACACTGCCAGAGTTTCTGGAGTTTGCCTGGTCCCAAGGGGCTCCCGCTTCACACACCTGGGTCTGCTCGGCTAATGGAGAAAGGGCGCAGCCAGAAGTCTAACTTTGTCACGTGGTCACGGTATACCCAGCTGCTGGGAGTCTGGTGATGTGGTCTGTTTGGATGACATTGGCCAAACTGAATACTGAAAGAAGAGAATAAACACTGGGCCCAGAGGCAGGCCCGGGTGGAGGGATGCCCGCTGTGCTGGTGGGGGATTGACAGCAAGAGAGACACACGCACGCACGCACGCACGCACACACGCACGCACGCACGCACGCACGCACTCCCAGGAGGCAGCAGGGTGTAGTACAGGGCTGGACATCAGGCCAGGGCCAGTGGGGAGAGCTGGGAGGCAGAGGAACAATGTATGTCCGGGGCTCTTCGGCGCAAATCAAGGTGGCAGTGGGGTTAGGGAAAACTGGTGTGGCTGGAGCTGAGTGGGCACTGAGCTGAGCTAACAGGCAGGGCCAGGCCAGGGGGGTTATACAGCTGAGGCAGGCTGTGAAAACTCTCCTCACAGAAGGGCTTGGGGGCCTATGACACAGCTGTGGTTTCAGCCAATCTTCTTAATTTTTTTTTTTACATTTATTATTTCTACGCATGTATGTGAACGCTCACGAGCCGTGGTGTGTCAGTGGAAGTCGGAGGACAACTTCTGGGAGTCGGTTCTTTCTCCCCCGTGTGGGTTCCAGGCTTGCTGATGAGCACCATTCCCCGCTGAGCCTTCTCGCCAGCTTCAGCCAGGTTTGCCCTGGAGTCAGTCCCCGGGGCTCGGGAAAGGTTAAGAGTGCACAGTGGAGGCAGGGGGACTGTGTCTTAGAGCTGGGGCAGAGGGTGGGCTCAGAGCTCTGTAGACTTGACCTCATGCCTGTCACCTGCACCACATCAAAGCCACAGGTGTTGTGCCCAGCCCTGGCGGCAGGCTGGGGAGGTGGGACCTGGAAAGGGGGAAGGGGCTTGCCCACTTTGCCTCTGCCTTGAAGGGCAGAGTCCAGACTGGCTCTGGGTAGGTGGGGCTGACAGGACTGAGGTCACTGAGTGACCTGGTGACACCTGGCCCCTGAGAGTTACCTGTCTTCAGTCACTGGAGAGAAGTACATTTGCTGTGAAGTTCATTTGAGAGTGTGTTTGTGTGCGTGTGCGTGCGTGTGTGTGTGTGTGTGTGTGTGTGTGTGTGTGTATGTGTGTGTGTGTGTGTAGGTGTGGAGCCCAGAGGCTGATGTCAGGTGTTGTTCCTCTGGATGCCAGCCACCTTGTCTTCTAGGACAGGGTCACTCACTGAACTCAGGACTTCATGCTTGCACTGAGCTATCTCCTCATCCTTCACTAGTGAATGTCTAAAACCAGCCCATCTCCACAGCGTCACAGAGCACGCAGACTCACCACAGCCTGACAGCTGGCCAATCTGACCCTGCTGTCTGCTCTCAACTGGTATTAGTGGCACCAAGGCAGATAAACACAGTGGCCAGGCACCCAACTTCATGCCACCCACTGGGCTCCGGGCTAAAGCTGCCCATCTCTCCCAGCAGCTAAGCTGCCCAGACCCTTCAGCTCCCCAAGCTCAAGGTATTGTGGTTCTGAAAGGGGCACTGCTGGTCCAGTGTAAGACACAGGAGGGCAGGACACAGACATAGCCAGGAAAGTGGCGTACAAAATCTCAGAGTGACCTGAAGGCTGGAGAACACAGGGTCCACGTGTACTCACTATCTAAGTTCTTGCCCAGACTGTACAGGCAGAACCGAGCCCAGAGGAGGGAGCTTTGAACACACAGCACAGGACGAAGCTGTTTTCCCTGTGTCAGACAAGACTGTTCCACACATTGCGCCCTCATCTCTGAGCCCCTTCTCTTCCCTTCTGTGGCGGTTTGAATGAGGATGGCCCCACAGGCTCATTTGAATGCTGGTTCCCAGTCAGTGGAACTGTTTGTTGATTAGGAAGTGTGTCCTTGCTGGAGGAGGTCTGCCACTATATACTCGGAGGTTCAAAAGCCCATGCCATTTCCAGTTACTTCTCTCTCTCTCTCTCTCTCTCTCTCTCTCTCTCTCTCTCTCTCTCTCTCTCTCTCTGTGTGTGTGTGTGTGTGTGTGTGTGTGTGTGTGTGTGTGTGTGTCTGCCTTGTCACGTGGATTACACGTAAACTCTCAGTGACTGCTCCAGCACCATGCCTGTCTTCTGCCACGCTCTCCCCCATGATGGTCACGGCCTCTCACCCTGAGGAACTGCAAGCACCAAAGAAACTCTTTCTTCTGTAAGTTGCATTGATCATGGCATCTTTACACAGCGATAGAAAAGCTCCTCAGACACCTTCCCTCCCTTTCTTTTTCTCTTCCTTTTTTTCTTGAAAGTGTCTCTGCAGCTGAGGATGACCTTGAACTTCTGACCCTCCCGTCTCTGCCTTCCAGGTGCTGGCATTCCAGGCATGCACCCCCAGTCCTGGTTTAAATGGTTTGGGGGATAGAACCCAGGGCATGCTAGGTAAGCACTCTGTCAATAGAGCTACATCTCCAGCCCCTTGAGTCTTCCTTGTACATATTTGTTTGTTTCATTGGTCCCCAAGTCCTGGGCATCAGCCGGATACCAGCCTGCTAGGTACTGGATTCAGACAGCAGTCCTGGTGGAGAGAACAGAGCTTGCCCCTGAAGTGAGCACGCTAATGAACAGGGTAGGGTGAGTGGAGAGACCATCTCAGAAGGGGTGTGCCATGGCACATGTTATTCATTAAGCGGCACTGTTTACCACGCGAGAAAAGCCACGAGACACAACAAAACCCACTATAAAGAATTTATTCAGGGAAAGGAATAGGAAAGGTGTGCATAGGCCCATGGAATGACCATGCAGGAAGAGGGGGGAGGAATACGTGGTACCCACTTTTATAGGTCCCCCCCCCTGCACATGTGCATGTGGGGTTTACATAGCTACACCACACATGTGCATAGGTTTACATGATCACTCTGCATGCAAATTATGTGATCACGTAGCGCACAGATTACGTAGGATGTAAGGCCCTGGGATTACTAAGTATCTTGCCAGCGCATGCGCGGTCATGTAGCTGGGGGAGTGGCCAGGAATTCTAACAACACACACAACACGAGGTCGGGTAGGCAACATCCAAGGAGCAGCTGTGGCACGGAAGCATCGCTCACTCCTGTCAGATCCCAGCACCAGATCCGAAGACCCAAGAGACTCACCCGTGCTCCTTCCGCCCCTCTGCATCTTGGATCCCCACAGAATAAGATGGTGCCAAGAGATCCAGCCGGCTTGCCCTTGGGCCAGGTAGCAGGATGGAAAAGTTAAGGAGAGACAGCCAAATACATGTTCAGAAAACTGTGGGCCAGGGAGGTGGCTGGTCAGATGCTTGCCTTGCAAGTGTGAGGACCTGAGTTCAATTCCCAGGACTCACAGAGAGAGAGAGGGAGAGAGAGAGAGAGACAGAGACAGAGACAGAGAGAGACAGAGAGACAGAGAGACAGAGAGGAAGAAGAAGAACAAGAAGAAGAAGAAGAAGAACAGGAAGAAGAAGAAGAAGAAGAAGAACAAGAAGAACAAGAACAAGAAGAACAAGAAGAAGAAGAACAAGAAGAAGAAGAAGAAGAACAAGAAGAAGAAGAAGGGGGAAGGGAGGGAGGGAGGAAGGAAGGAAGGAAGGAAGGAAGAAAGAAAGAAAGAAAGAAAGAAAGAAAGAAAGAAAGAAAGAAGGGAGGAAAATGAATGAAAGATCCCTGGGACTCCCCAAGTAGCCAGCCTAGCTGAACTGGTGGGTCTAGGTCCAAAAAAAAAAAAAAAAAAAAAAAAAGGTGCAAGGTTCCTGAGGAAGGACACCCGAGGGTGACCTCTGGTCTCCACATTCATCACACAGACTTGCACCCACTGACCCAGGAACATGCAAGCATGGTCACACAAGGCTGAACACCAGAATTGCAGCTAAGACTACATTCACTCACAGCAAAGCCAAGGCTTTCACAGCCTTGGGGCAGCCAAGGCCAGATTGCTGCCCTGGGAGCTCCTCCTCAAGTCTCTCCAGCTGCAAATGGTAGCCGTCAGGGCTGCCTGAGAGATTTTAAGCAGGAGCAAATGCCAACCTCAGTCAAGACTCATAACGCACTGAGAAGTGGCATTGTCTCCCGATTATCTGATTGAAGCAATCCTAGAACTAAAAGACCAGAACAGAGACCTTGTTGCCTACCCTGATGCTGCACAGCCTCATGGCTGCAGGACCCCGGGGACCGAGGCTCCCCCACCAGTTCAGCCTGGATGCAGATCACGAGGACCCGCCCTCGCCCTGGGAGGTGGCTCTGGGCTCAGAGGGCCGCACGTGGTGGCTTTGTGCCTGTCTGATTTTCATTTCCCCAGCAAAGAAGGCACGGCAGGGGCCATGACCTCACCCCACAGAAAATACCTCAGCTCCAGGCCCCTAAGTGGAGCCCTCGAAAGAGACGATTTACTTTGTTTTGCATATTAATTGTTCTAAATGCCACCTGCTCTGGGATCAATTAAGCAGTCTAGTGCTGGGAGGAAGTGGGAGGCTGGCAGCAGCCAAGAGGCCGGCGCCCCCTCAGGGCCCCGGGCCGTCCAAGATGCCTGCACCCTGCCACCACAAGAGCACACTTTGGGACAGGCCCCAGGCAGGTCTGCCAACGTGGGCAGGTAGACTGGGCTGATGATCTGTCTTTCTGTCCTCCACCTCTTTAAAAGATTGGCTTCCTTGTAGCCCAGGCTGGCCTCCAACTGTGTTTCACTTACCCTCTGTCCTTCACATTCCCAGTACCAGGGTTTTAGGTTCAGGGCACCACCAGGTTTAATAGAATCCAGGGTTTTGTGCATGCTAGGCAAGCACTCTACAAACTGAGCCACATCCCCAGCCCTCAAAAATGACAGGGCCTCATGGATTCCATCCTGACCTTGAATTTGCTCCCTAGCTGAGGATAATCCTGAATTTCAGAATCCCTGCTTCTGCCCCCAAAGAGCTGGGATTCCAGGCGTGTATCACCATTCCTGGTATATGCGGTGTGGGCAAGCACTCTACCCACCCAGCTAACATTCCCAGGTTGCCCTTTTGATCGTCTCTTTCCAATGAGGCCAACAGATTCCGAAGCCAGCTGTTGGTGGGGTCTGTCTCCTTCCCAGGCAGAGGCTTTGCTTAGTCTCTTTGGCCACTGCAGCCTGGGCAGCTGACCGTCCTGACCACCACGGCTGGGTGTGGAGATAGAAATGCCAGTGACGTCAGCTGCAAGGCCGTGATCTGCAGTCCATTCCCAGTGACCTCCCCAGCACGGCGCAGGCCCTTCCTTCCACCCCAGCCTGTCGCGAGCACCTCCTCCAACCCACCTTGGAACATTCACACTTGCACACTTCTGCCATGGACTACACACCAAGGAAGCTCTCCAGTCACCTGCCTCCTTGACCCAGAAGCTCTTGTCCCCCACCCACCATCCACATTTTTACAAGTTTTGTGGGGTTCAATGATCCAGTGCCTTGGGCACAGCTTTCCTTCTGTTCCAGTACAGATGCCCCCAAGTCGCTTCCTGGTTGTCCCTAGGTCATTTTCCACATAGGTTCTGTAGCTAGCTCTGTGTGTGTGTGTGTGTGTGTGTGTGTGTGTGTGTGTGTGTGTATACCTGGACAAGGTATGCAGATCTATTCTTGTGCTTGGAAGTCAGAGGAGGATGTCTAGTGTTCTGTCACTCTCCAATCTCTTCCTCTGAGACAGTCTCTCACTGAGCCTGGAGCTAGGCTGGCAGCCAGCAAGATCCAGTGACCCTCTGGCCTCCACCTTGCCCACTCCCTCCACACTGGGCTTTTTCTGTTGCTGCCGGGTCTTGAACTCAGATTCCCATGCCTTCATAGCAACTGCTCTTACCCACTGAACCATCTTCTCACCCCTAAGCAGCATTTTAAAGAACCAGACTTAGTTTGGTCTCCTCAGCTTCCCCCGTCCCAGCATCTGCAGAGGACCCCCCTTTGTATTTTCTGTGACCTACAGAGGACCTTGGGACACTGTCTTAGTCACTTTTTTGTTTCTGTGAAGAGATACCATGACCAATGCAACTTACAGAAGTATTTATGGGGACTTACAGTTCAGAAGGTTAGGGCCTATGACCATCACAGCTAGGAGCATGGCAGTGGGCAGGCACGTGTGACTCTGGGGCAGTAGCCGAGAGCTATCACAAGTACAAGGCAGAGAGAGATTATTGGAAATGGCACTGATGTATGAAACCTCAAAGCCCACCCCCAGTGACACCCCTCCTCCAGTAAGATCGTGCCTCCTAATCCTTCCCAAACAGTTCCACTAACTGGGACCAAGTATCCAAACTCCTGAGCCTAAGAGGGTCTTTCTCATTCAAACCACCACAAATACCATGGGAAACTGAGTATTTTCAGGCACATTTCCAACCTCTTTGGACTATCCATGGTAGCATACATCTTTAATCCCAGTACTCAGGAGGTGGAAGCAGGTGGATCTCTGTGAGTTTTGTTAGCCTTGTTTATCTAGTTCCAGGTCAGCCAGGGTCACACAGCAGGACTCTATCTCAAAACAACAACAACAGAAAACAAACCAACAAAACCAACACCAACTCTCTCAGCATATTTAGAAGGAACCATGACAGGGTAGTCAGTAGAATCAGAAACAAACCGGGAGGCAGAAAAGTTGCTGGCTGGTTCTTAGCTGCCTCAAGGCCTTTGGGGCTTGGTATGCAAGACACACAAAGAGTGGGGCCAGAGAGGTGGGTGGATGGAGGTCAAGTCTCCAAAGGAGGCATCTGGATTTTCAGCATGAGCAGGACTGCTCTGGCTTCCACAGTCACCGGCAAGTGACTCCCATTTGCGTGGGCGTTAGCAAGGTGTTTTCTTAGCTCCCACCCTGAGGCATGCAAGCTGCCATCTGTCCCCAAGTGCTGTGGGATGGTCTGTATGTCAAATGTGTTGCTGATTGGTCAATGAATAAATCACTGATTGGCAGTGGCCAGGCAGGAAGTATAGGCGGGACTAACAGAGAGGAAAGTTGAGAGAACAGGAAGCTGGGAGAGAGGAGACACTGCCAGCCGCCATCAGGACAAGGAAGATGTAAAGTACCGGTAAGCCACAAGCCACGTGGCAAGGTATAGATTAATAGAAATGGATTAATTTAAGCTGTAAGAACAGTTAACAAGAAGCCTGCCACGGCCATACAGTTTGAAACCAATATAAGTGTCTGTGTTTACTTGATCGGGTTTGAGCGGCTTGGGACTGGCGGGTGAGAGAGATTTGTCCTGACTGTGGGCCAGGCAGGAAAACTCTAACAACAAATGGCGCCCAACGTGGGGCAAGAGTTTCCACCTAAAAGCTGAAAAAAAAGATTCTAAAACGGAGCTAAAAACAGCTTCCTAATTGTTTCTCTCAAATGAGCGGCAGCTGCCGGTTTGAGCAACTGGCGGGTTGCTGACGTGCGCGCTCGACCTGCAGTATGGCGGGAATGAGGCCTCTGCAAGTGACACATTAAGCTACATTATGGATTTAGCCTTTGCTAGTACAAAACAAAAGAGGTTTCTGGGCTATACGCTGCTTTGATAGAAGCATAGACCCACTATTTCTGAGAGTTGATGGCTCCCAGAGCTGGCAAAAAATGTATCACCACCATTTTGAGAAGCTGAAGTGGGTGGAGCCAGCAGCCACAGCACCAGCGCCGTTTCAGGCTTAAAAGGCTACAGTTTAAAACAATAGGCTCAAGCTAATATAAAAAAATAAGCCACGTAAAGATGGCTACCACACAGAGAATCTGGATTATGTTCTCTTTGATATTCGTAACTAAAGAAAAACATTTGATTGTAAAAGCTGTTGAGTTATGCCAAAATGTATATTTTAAAGGTACCTTGACTTCAAAATTTGGATATAAAGATATGTTGCTTTGGAAAGGAGATTCTGCTTTTGTTTCCACAGAAAGTCAGAGGCTATGGATCTGTTCCAGATTAAGACACATCAGGTTTGACCAGCCAAGACCCCCTGAAAGGTCTCTGATGACACCATGGCCCAGATGATCCAACATCCAAAACCGTTTCAAGTCAACTGGCTCAGATGATACAGCCTCACGGACTACTCCATGATCCTAAAATTTTCTTTGTTTCCCCATAAGATACAGCGCCCCCCTCCAGCAGGAAGTAGTAAGAGAAGCTACGCCCAAATTCCCAAATATACCAAGCTGACTTTGGAGATGTGTAAAGGTTAAAACCTTCCTTTTTAAGAAAAGAAAAGGGGAGGTGCTGTGGGATGGTCTGTATGTCAAATGTGTTGCTGATTGGTCAATGAATAAATCACTGATTGGCAGTGGCCAGGCAGGAAGTATAGGCGGGACTAACAGAGAGGAAAGTTGAGAGAACAGGAAGCTGGGAGAGAGGAGACACTGCCAGCCGCCATCAGGACAAGGAAGATGTAAAGTACCGGTAAGCCACAAGCCACGTGGCAAGGTATAGATTAATAGAAATGGATTAATTTAAGCTGTAAGAACAGTTAACAAGAAGCCTGCCACGGCCATACAGTTTGAAACCAATATAAGTGTCTGTGTTTACTTGATCGGGTTTGAGCGGCTTGGGACTGGCGGGTGAGAGAGATTTGTCCTGACTGTGGGCCAGGCAGGAAAACTCTAACAACACCCAAGTTCAAAATGCCCTCAAGACAAGCCACTCCCTTCGCACCCTCTGCCACAACTCCTTACCTGGGTAACACAAAGCTGTCCTCTTTCCATGGCCTGAAGCTGCCGCCTCACCCCTGCCCCAGGACTCTGGGCTCATGGCCATCACTCCCCTTCCCCCCCACTGAGGACCTGGAGATCCAGAAAGGACCTCCTAGTGGGCCAGTCCTCAGGACTCCAAAGGGCACTGACTCTAGTAGTTGTTCCCTGAAGGAATAGGGACCCAGAGCCACCAAATGTTTTAGACATTTCGGAGGAGGCCTGAATTCCAAATTTTTTTTTTATGTGAAAGTTCTCAGTTTCAAAATATTGGACCAAAACCAAAAACTTCTTAACACTGGTAGATCCAGACAAGTTACATGTGACGAATGTGGTCTAAGCCCTGTTGATTATAATGGCAGCCTCGTGATGGTGTCTACTACATGACCCAATCAACCAACCATCCACCCATCCAGCACTTCATCTGTGGTCCACAGGACGTGGCGACTGCCTGCTGCTGAGCCTGGAGTGGGAAGAAAGACCAGCTAGATGAAGGTTGCCCCTGCCTCTGCTTTCTTCTGGTACTTTAAGAGTTTTGTGGTTTCCTTTAAGCCTTTGATTCATGTCGATTTATTTTGGTATAACATGTGAAGTGAGGTTCTAAATTAATTTCTTTTACAGATGGGCAGCCAATTGTCCCAATACTAAATGTGGAGAAATCCTGTTTCAAATGCCAACTGGATCATATGGTAACTTCCTATATATATTGGATGACTTCCAGTAATTTCTAAATTATATGGCTATTCCTATACTTCCTCTATAGTTCCAATTATTTCAGCTTTATAATAGATTTAAAATCTGTGTAAATAATGGAGAGGGTTCTCCTTGCTCCCTGCATGGTTGTTTTCAAACTTTTTCTGGATATGTGTGCATGTGTACTGTTCCATATCACCCTTTCTATTCAGAAAGAACCGTGTAGCTATTGTTTGCTGTGGTTGTGATGATGTGAGGTTTCATTTAGGGAGAACCGGCATTCTCGTAATGTTATCACTTTACCCATGGGGTATAGAAGTTCACAGTTGTGTTCTTCAGTAGTATGTAAAAGGATTGCTTCACATGGATTTTGGCACATCTTCAAGAAATTTATTTCTGGGGCTGTGGCGGGGAGGGCTGGGTTGGTAAAGTGCTGCCCCAGTGAGCATGAGGCCCTGAGTTCAAACCCTAGTTTCCATTTAGAAAAAAAAAAAGCTGAGTGTGGTGAGTGCTTGCAATCCCCAAACTGGAGAGCAGAGGCAGGGGGATCCCTGAGACTAGGCAGTCAGCCAGCCCAGCTTGATCAACAAGTTCCAGTCCTGTAAGAGAATCTGCCTCAAAAACCAAGGTGGACAGTTCCTGAGGGGTGACACTCCTGCTGACCTCGGCTTTCATGTGCCCACGTGTGCACACCCACGGGCACACACATGAACAAGCACATACAAGTGTGTATCTACACACAAATGAAAATTTAAAAGTAAAAGGTTTTCTTCACACTGATTTTATGTTTTTGAGAAAAGTTTCTTTCTAGGTTGTTTTACCAATGGGTCCTTTTATCCATTATAACTTAGCTCTGGTTAGTGTCAGAAGTCTTTGAAGGCCAAAGAGTACTTGTTTTGTAGAGTTATCTTACAAAATTCTTTCGTCATTTTCAATCTTTTCCCCCGAGTTGAGTCTTGTGCGGTTTTAGGTAAATGAGCAAATATCTTTCCAACAGTGAAATGTCGCTTTCTCTTTTGCAACACGATGTCTCAGTCCAGCTTTATTGTACAAGAGCCAGAGCAATAGTGATGGTGGGGACCTTGGCTCCAGGACGAAATATATAAAGGCTGGCTTGTGGAATGATATATCCATCTAGTCTAACTTATTAAATTTTTTTTCCTGAGAATATATATTGAGCTTTTAAAGACACTTTTTTTTTAGATCATGAGAGATAAAGAGAAGATCCCAGAAGCCTTGAGAAACCGAAAAAGTCATGCAACAGAGGATCAAGACTCAGGATGGCACTGGGTTACTTCTCATCAACCCAGAATGCCACATGCCAATAAGAGCTGCCTTCAGAATGTGGAGTGGAGATGATTTCCAAACGAGATTTATACAGCCAGCCAAACTGTCAATCAAGGATCCAAAAACTGAACTTCCCATATGCAGTTTTCAAGGAAGCTACTGGCATGTACATTATAACTAAAAGAAGACAGTAAACCAAGCAGGGGGGTGGCTTTGGAGCCGAGCACCAAAGAAGAAGTACAGGAGAGAAGTTAAGGGGTTTCCTGGGATAAAAGCAGAGGGAAATTTCAGACTATCTATCAGGAAGACATCTAGGAGGGTGTCTGGTCTAGGTCAGGTGAAGAGGACAAAGAGATTTAGAAAAACAAAAAAAACCAAAAAACAAAAATGGAAGTAATAGGTTACTAAATGAATCTGATTGTATTGCTGGGGATTTTAAAACTTTGTGGACATGTTTGTGGGAAGAGTTAGTAATACTACTTTAAAGTGTAAGTGAAAAACAGAGGCAATCACCAACTCCAGGGAAAACAAAAAGCTCAGCAACTACACCTACAACACCTCATAACTACACCTAGAACACCTCATAACTACACCTACAACACCTCATAACTACACCTATAACACCTCATAACTACACCTAGAACACCTTGTAACTACACCTACAACACCTCATAACTACACCTACAACACCTCGTAACTACACCTACAACACCTCATAACTACACCTACAACACCTCATAACTACACCTACAACACCTCATAACTACACCCAGAACACCTCATAACTGCTCCTACAACACCTCATAACTACTCCTACAACACCTCATAACTACACTTACAACACCTCATAACTACACCTACAACACCTCATAACTACTCTTACAACACCTCATAACTACTCCTACAACACCTCATAACTACACCTACAACACCTCATAACTACTCCTACAACACCTCATAACTACTCCTACAACACCTCATAACTACACCTACAACACCTCATAACTACTCCTACAACACCTCATAACTACACCTACAACACCTCATAACTACACCTACAACACCTCATAACTACACCTACAACACCTCATAACTACACCTACAACACCTCATAACTACACCTACAACACCTCATAACTACTCCTACAACACCTCATAATTACACCTACAACACCTCATAACTACACCTACAACACCTCAGATAAAGGTTGATGTTTATGTTATCAGCTTGACAGGATCTATAACCACCCAGGACATAAGCCTCTGCGCACACCTGTTATCTACACTAACTTCTGGGCATGTCGTGAGAGATTTTCTTGATTAGATTAATTGTGATGGGAAGGTCTACCCTAAATGTGGGTGACACCATTCCCTGGGCTGGGATCCTGTACTTTAGACGTGGAGAAAGGGAGCTGAGCTTCCTGACTGTGGGTGCGACGTCACCAGTTGCCTCATGCTCCCGCTCCCGTGACTCCCTCACTGTGGTGGGGACACCCTCGAACTGTGAGCCAAACAGACCTTCCTCCCTGAAGTTGCTTTGGTCAGGCGTTTCACACAGCGATGGGAGAGGACACCAGGAGACTTTGTTCCGCTGTTAACAACATGGAGGTGGACCAGGTGGAAGAGGACTCTGAGTTAGCAGCTGTGATGGGATGACGTTGGGAGGGAAAGTGCGTGTCTGTGTGTGGTGGCTGCTGGGGAACTAGCAATCTTCCATAAGAGGAGGCCAACAAATAATATGTGAAATCAGAAAAGGATGGTATTTAGAAATATGAAAGTAAATGTCAGAGGGAACGTACGAGGGCTTGCAGTCATCTCCTCCGAGGAGACGTGGGGCTGCTGCTTTTCATTATTGGTTTCATGCAACCATTTGACTTTTACAACCTCATAATAAACTATTGATCAAAATGGAAATTTCATTTTAAAATGTCCGTGTATTTGTGACCTAACTCCGCTTTTGAACCTCTCCTGCTGTTCAGGAAATGAGCTGACCAGAATTTTGAAGATCAAGGGTACAGTCGCTCCGCTCTGTAAATTACTAGCTGTATGACCCAAGGCCAGTGGCTCGGTCTCTCAGAGTCTCTGTTTGTTCAACTGAGAAGTAGGGCTAATTCTAGTATCTACTTCCTAGGGCTGCTCAAAGGATGAGGTAAGCTCCTGCCTGGGCCTGACACTCAGGAACTTCCTCGAAAGGATGCTGTTGCTGTAATCTTCTGGGCTTTGTTTGTTCTGTTTCTTTTGTTATGTGAATGTGTGTGTGTGAGAGAGAGGGTGTGTGTGATGTGTGTGTATGTGGGGGGGGGTGTGCGCTCACGAGCTCCTTGGCACTCACGCGGAGGTCCGAGGACAACCTTGGGGATCCCTTGCCTTCTATCTTGTTTGGTGTACGTTTCTTTGTTTTTTCCATGTCACACACCGGCTCTCTGGCCTACAAGCCTTGGAAGCTCTCCTGACTGCCCCATCTAACTCGTGGGAGCACTAGGATTGCAGGTGTGCGCTGCTGAACTTGGCTCTTGATGGTTGCTGTTTTCACTTCATTCAGCTCAATTCCTAAGGGATTAACCGTGGATAAGTTCTCTGAGCCTTGCCCTTCAGACATGAAGTATTTTGCGCTACTGAGCAGATAAATGAGGTAGAGATGTAGAACATCCAGGACCCAGCCCCTCGTCTTTCTAGAACTCTGATTTCTCATCAGCAAAGAGAGAAACTCCTTTCAGGGTACCCTGCTCATTGATGGGATGATGATCCTGGGAGCTTTGGGCCCCGCCTTGACATGCATTGATTTACTCAAAAAAGCAGTCAAGTGAGGGAATTCTAAACTCATAGAACAAACACACTGTAGGAAACATGGGAAAATCGAGACGCCCATATCAGCACATTGTTACTTTTCTCAGCCCTGCAACCAAGTACCTGTCAAGACAGTCTGCTAGAGGACGGGTTTAATTTGGCTCACGTTTTGAGGAGAAACAGTCTCTAACGGCAGGGGGGAGGTAAGGTGGTGGGGCCATGGTGGGAGATGGAACTGCTCGCCACATTGCATTGACAGGCAGAGTGAGCTGTGACCAGAGCACAGAGAGCCACCCCCAGGGGCCCACTCCCCCCAGCAAGCCCCGCCCAGCCAGCATGTCCTATCCTTTCTTTAAAATAGTCTTTATTTTTATTTTATGTGTGTGGGTGTTTTGCTTGTATATATGTCTGTGTGCCACGTGCATCCTTGGTGCCCAGGGAGGTCAGAAGAGGGTGTTGGCGTCGCTGGAACCATAAGCAGTTGTGAGCCTCTGTGTGGGTTCTGGGAACTCAACCAGGGTCCTTCTTAACTGCGGAGCCATCTCTCCAGCCTGGTATGTCCAGCCTTTGATATTGCCACACAGCATTGCCATCTACAAAGTTCACAATGGAGAACTGTAATTGATTTACAGAAAAAAAAAATCTCATGAGGCTGGAGAGATGGTTCAGCAGTTAAGAGCAGTCACAGCTCAACCACGAGGACCTAAGTTCAGATCTCAGCACCCACATCGGGTGGCTTACAAATGCCTTTAACTCCAGCTTCAAGGGATCTGGCCCCCTCAAACACGCACACATGTGCACACACCTCTCATAATATGTTAAGTAAGCTTCTCATTAGTGTTGGGCTGCATTCATAGTTATCCTTGGTTGCACGCGGCCCACAGGCTGAATGTTGGACATGCTCAGGAGGTTACAACTGCCCTAAACAGCACTACCAGCTGGGGATTCGATGTTCAGATACATGAGTCTGTGGGGAACATTCCACATGCAAACCAGGTGGACAGGAGTTTTCCCCATCTTATTTCCTGTGGAGAGTGTGTGCGTGTGTGCGTGTGCATGTGCGTGTGTGCGTGTGTGTGTGTGTGTGCGTGTGCGTGTGCGTGTGCGTGTGTGTGTGTGTGTGTGTGTGTGTGTGTGTGTGTGTTCAGGTGGTGGTAGTGGATCCTTGCGGCTCCTTTCTGCTTATTCCTCAATACAGGAGTTGGGTGGCTCTCGGGGCTGTTTTTCTCTTTGTGGTAACTCTATAGAGCTTCCAGCTTTCACTAGGAACTCAGGTTTCCTTGGTGGATGAGACTGGAGAGAGGATGACTGAAAGGTAAACCCTAGTGAGTGAGCATGGACACCAGAAAGCAACCTAGGTTACTCCAATCACATTTATTGACCCAAGAGAGTCGCACAGTCATCCTGAGCTGGGGGAGTGGAGCTGCCCTCCAAAGTGCCTGACCACACGGGTCACCGGACCCAGGAAAGAAGGGGCACTTTGTATTGCATGCGTGGAACCGCAGCTACCCGGCCTGCACCGGGCTCTTTTGCAGGCTGCAGCTTTTGTCTCTTCGCATTGCATTATGAATCCTCTGTGAGCACATGTGGTCGTCGGCACAACACAAACTGAGGGAAAGATTTTCAAGTGGCTGGTGACACTCTTTCTCTCTCCCTTGCTCCCTCCTTCCTCTTCTAATTTAGGGAACTGTGTGTAGGTGGCGGAGATCCAGGCTTCTGGTCTTTCCATGTCAATGCTCAAAAATATCTCCCCATCCTTCCCCTCCTGGCCAGCCAGCATGGACGGGCATGGCCCTGTCCCTGCTTCTCATGGGGAACTGGGGCAGGCCTGGGGTGTCGTTCACTCCAGAAGTAACACGTCTGGAGGTGAGGCCAGAAGAGCCCCCCGAACAACTGCCTGGTTCACAACTGCACATGTGGGGTGCGGCTGCACGAGGCTCTGCCGCGGCCTCCTTGAGCAGACAGTCAGCCGGTGGTGTTAATGTGCTGTGTTAAAAGTGACACCAGGGAGCTGCAGGCGCCACTGTCAGCTGTGCGGGAGATGACACCCCGGCCCCGGAGCCGGGTGCGAGCTCTGAGCAGCGGCCCTCCCCCTCACTTGGGTCCCAGGATCCTGGAGACCCACGGGAAGGGGTTCAGGAGAGGCAAGCGTGGTAGCCTGCTTGCAAAGAGTAGGAGACAGGCTGTGGGAGCAGTGAAGTCACGGCTGGAGGGACAGGTTGGGGCCAGGAAGGGGAACGTCCATGCTGAGAGTTCAGGGCTCTCCTCTCCAGGTTTTCCCTCTTCCCTTAGCCCTCCTTTCTTTCTTTCGATGACCAGACTGACCTTAAAGTCGCTGTATAGTCCAGGATGACCTTCAACTCCTGATCCTTCTGCCTCCACTTCAAGGGCTGAGTTCCGGGTGTGCACCACCATGCCCAGGGTGTGCGGTGCTGGGGACTGAACCCAGAGCCTTGCGCACGCCAGGCCAGCACTGTACCAACTAAGCCACATCTCCAGCCCTCAAACCCTCATCCTGGTGCCTCCTCGGGGCCTCCATGGAGCAGCTGTGGTTTTCACACGAAGTCATGGACAACTTCTGAGATTTACAGTTCAGTCATGAACACGCACAGGCTCGGAGGGACTAAAAAGGAACGCAGCAAGCACTCTCGTCTGGTGTTGGGATGGCTGGGCAAGGGCCCGGGGTTTCAGGGGACTTTGAAGGAGAGTGAGATTGGTGAGGACTCAGGGAAACAGAAGCCCAGAGAAGGCGAGGGAAAGGAAGTGACTGGATTGGGTAAGACTCCCATCATTAAAGTCACGTGGAGGTGGGGAGACCTCGGGTAGCTCACGTTCTTCTGGGGGCAGAGCTGCCACTGCAGCGACGATAGTCTAGTCGGCGTGCTTTGTGTGGAGACCTCACAGATTTGCCCTTGTAGCCCGGGGAGGAAAGTGTGGGGTCTGAGGAGTGCCCACCTCACCTGTGGGGGTGGCCTAAGGTTCAACAAAAGTGAAACCCAAGAGTCCAGCTCCTTTGGGGTGTGAAACAAAACAACTCCCCTTTAGGGCCTGAGGTGATAATAACTCAGTAAAGTGTTTT